TTCCCGGCCCGATTCCCGGCCCGGTTCCATCCCGCAGCAGCCCACGTACTCACCCTGGCGGAGCCGCCCGCCCTCGGACATCGCCACAGCCCCGCGCTGCTGAGCAGCCCCGCCCGCCCCGGGACGCGCCCCGTGCGTGACCCCGCCCGCGCCGCCATCCCGCACCTGGGCCGGGGACGCCGCGCAGCTCCCGCAGGAACGTTCGCGTGTGGGAGCCGAAGGGCAGCTGCACCGTGAGGCGATCGTCCGCGGAGCTGATCCGGACCGTCACGTCGGCGCCTGCGGAAAGCGCGAGCAAAGAGCCCTGGTCTGGTGCGGAGGGGCTGGCCGGGCCCAGCCGTGCCTCCGCACCGCGGCGGGCCCGCACAGTTCTGCTGTGAGCTCCCCACGCCTTCTCACCCTGGTCCTTTTCCACGTTTTGCTTAAGAATGCCGTTTAAAAATACAAAACTCAGCACTTACAATAATTCTTATTCTGCCCATTTGGTAGCAGTAATTAATCCTCCAGGAGCAGTTTAAAAACATTTGGAAAAACCATTCCTTTGGTGGAACTGGTCTGAGGATACTTGTTAGCAAGCAAACAGCATGGCGAGCTCCCGAGCAGCAGCAAGACAAGATCCCCCGGTTCCCAGCCCTACCCGGAGTGCCCCCATGCCTGCCCCACTGGGTGCAGGACACAACGCCTGTGACAGGCACCAAGGCACAGGTGGAACTCACCAAGGACCTGAAGGTCACTGTCCAGTACAACTGCAAAAGCAAAACAAAGCTCAGTTACGAGGCTGGGCAGCAGGTTTATAGACAGTGATGGTGGTCTCAGTTCAGCCAACTCCAGCAGGTTCTCAAACCCCAAATACTTCTTGGATGAAGTGAGCCAGGCCCGGGGAAAAGGCCGTGGCTGGTGCCTAGAAGGACACTGGGTGCTCCGGGCTGCAGAGCAATTGATCTAGTGGGGCTCTTCCAGGTACATCATGTGACACACAAGTGCAACCAGGGATTACAAGTAAAATAAAAAATGCAGAGGACAAATAGAATCCCAAATTTCAGCAAGTAGAACAACAAAATGTAGACACCAAAGCCCTTCACCTCACTCTTAGTTGATAGCCTCTAAGCTACCAAAACATGTCAGTACCTTCTTCCACTGCAAACTCTTCTGTGATGGGGATAATCTTCTCCAGCCACACATCCTCAGCTGTTATGGCCATCCGCCGGTGAGTGTACACGTGGATCCTGCAAGCATGGAGAGAAGGCAGGGGCAATGACTCCTGGATTTTGACAGCTCTGCAGGCACAAAAAGACCCCAACCGTGCCAGCATCAAAGCCTCATGCAGACCCAAAAGTCATTTATCGATAATTAGCCCACCCATCTGCTTACCCACCATTCAAATTAAAATAGATTTATGTTACTGCTAAAATGCACCAGACCAGAACCTCCTCCAGGGGCCTGGGCTTTTCTCACTAACATTCATAATGTACAGTAGGAGAAATGCCCAGGCACTGCACCTTCAAACCACTGCCCTACGAGTTTCTATGCAGTTTCCAAGGCCTACAGGAGACCTGCAGAGCTCTTGGCCCTTCTGCCGGTATTACAGAATCACGGAACGGTTCTGGTTGGAAAAGGCCTTTAAGATCATCAAGTCTAACCGTTAACCCAGCACTGCCAAGGCCACTGCTAACCCATGTCCCTCAGCACCACATTGACACATCTTTTAACTCCCTCCAAGGACAGTGATCCCATCGCTTCCCTGGCAGCCTCCCGGCATTCCCTCCTCGCAGCCACCCCCGGGGGCCCCCCCGGATCCCGGCACCTACGCGCGCTGCCCGCGGCTCTCCACCAGCCCCAGCAGCCGGCTCTCCCGGCTCTCTCCGCCCGCTACGACACCCTGCGACG